AATTTTTAATACCCTATATATACAAAAAATTTGTTCTTTGAATCATTAAATGTTAAATTAATTGATTATTATTATAAAATATCGCATATATTGTCTTAAAATTGTTACGTAGTTTATTTTTCGACACCATACTTGGCTTAACCTCAACGAAAACTACTCAAATTGCATTCTAATTCAAATGCGAATATCATATTAGTTTGTTAGTAATAATGATTTTTTAAATCGATGATTTTTATAAGATATCCTTATCTTATAATCTATGTATTTGAGTTGAAAAAAAAATATTTGAAATCGATGAGATTAACTTTCAAATTTTTTATACTCAACAAAGATGAAACATAAGAAGACATTTGTTGTTCATCTTTTATTTCTCGTTTTTAGATCTTTCTAACATTTTGTTTCAATATTTATTTTCTTTTATCTTATTTTTATGTCATTATTTCTTTTGTAACAAAAAATTTAATTTATTTCACTATAAAAGGANTACTATAAAAGGATGTATTTTAATAAAAATTGTCTACATATGAACTTTAATTATATTTTTAGTCTTTGGTTGAAATTATTTCATATTTTTCTTTTGGCTTTATTTAATCAGCCTAAATAGGTGCTCACCCGACCATTTAAATTAAAAATTTGAATGATGTGTAATTTATATATAATCTATATATAATATGTGTATAATCGTGTATTATCGGCGTATCATCTATTTATATTAGCTATAAAAAGTAAACAATAAATATGGTCGGCTATTATGTAAATATTCCATAAGATTTCGGTTTTTTGAGTTTATCCATGATATAACTTCTATTATAATAATTTTAAAACTCTCTACTAATGTTCAAAAATATCTTATCTTTTTATTATCTTTGAATTAAAAAAAAAAAGTAAAGAGCTTTTTCGAAATAATTTGTTTACATTTTAAAAAAAAATATTTCACGTCATACCAATTTTTTCTTTATATATACTCTTTGTTACACTTAAAAGTCACTATAGAAACCAATTTCTATCTTGTTGAGTTTGAAAAAAAAAATCTTGGACATAATTTAATGATTCAAAACTAATACTCTTCAACGAAAAAAATTGGTATGACGTGAAATATTTTTTTTTAAAATGTAAACAAATTATTTCGAAGGGTTTCAGCTTATACCCTTCAATTCCTTGAATGTGCTAAATTAAAATTAATGATAGCAATTGTATAGACAAAGTTTTGTTATTTGTTTGATGTCCATTTATGCAAATTGACTCTTCAAACAAATATTCTTCAAGAAGAAAAAAGAAACAATTTTTCTTTAATATTGACTGATTTTGTGATGTTTCTTTCTCCAGCATGTATGTTTACTTTATTATATATGTAAGTAAATTTTTATTTGGTTTTGTAAACTATTTTTTGTTATTTAGATAAACATAGACGTGTACCTTATATACTACATTTATTTTAAAAGAATTTCGTTTTATTCAAATCTAGCTACAATGTTTCAAAGAACAATACTTATAAGATTTTAAATATGAAAAAGTTTTATAGTTATATGGAGTATTTTTTTTTGGCTAGATGCGAAGTAGTATTTAAATAATTAGAAATAACAAAAGTTCCTAACATGATTGCATATGATAACATGATTAAAAAAGATAAATTTTATTTTTAATGTAAATTCGAATTTTAGAACTTTATCTATAAATTCAAAATTATCTTTTAATTCAAATTCCGTATATATATATATAATATTGTATTTAACTAAAATAGTCAAATATAGAATAAAGTTATCATATACTATTGACATTTATTAGCTTGCCACTTGGCTTAACCATAATGTCAATCATATATGGTAACTTCCTTGCTTTAATATATATATAGATTCTACCTATTTACTTGGTCAGTCTACATCTGTTTGCCTAGATAGTTTATTCTAAGCCGATGAAATAAGCAGCATAAATGAAAGGGCAGTTACGGAGAATTATGAATCAAACCAACAAAAGAACTTATAACAAGAGAGAAGGATTGAATACCTTTGTGAAATGGAAGTTTCTTGTGATAATGCCTTCTCCAGTCTCTCTTCAAATGGCGTTGCATGCCAACTTACTTTCTGATCCTGCCAAATCCCAAAGTCATCAGCTTAACCTCATTGATTAATGTAGCTAAGAGTTGGGATGTGCACGGAAAATAAGAGTAAAAGAGAAAGTAAAAGCGAATGCTAAAAAACTAAGCAGGCCAAACCTCCTTATACTTGTTTGTTGAATTAGGAATCCCGTTTCCATCCCACCATTTTTTGGGAGATATATGAGAATTTTCATCATCTTTCCAGTGAGCAGCAACTAACCCAAGAATAGGCCTATCTCCAGGAGTTCTGCCATAATGAACATTGTCACCATAAACTGAACCATTATGCTGCTTACCCTCATCTTGATTGATTGAAGATGGTTTCAGCCACGAAGACAAGCTTGCTTCTACCTTGAAATCTTTATCAGCTGTAGCTTCTTTTAATCCAGACATTCCTTGTTCTGACGAAAAGCTTGCTTCATTTGGACAGTCACCAGATTCTGTCATGTTACTAGACAATAATATGGAATTAGAGTCTAGAATGGAGTAGGAATCTTCATCTGACAATTCCTTCAACTGTGATGCGCCATAAACAGGGTTTAACACTGGATAAACAAACTGAGACCTGATCCGTGCAGTTTTTCCATTTGCAATATTGTCTAAATATGCTGGAAAAACAGTTCCAGGTGTTTGCATTTCATCACTTAGTTTTAGGGGGGTTGGATAGGGAGAATTCTTCAATGCATAGGAATTGCCTGGCTGCTTTGAGTTTTGACTGTCAAGTGTCGATGAAGAACTTTTGCATGATACTGCAGATAGATCGGACTCACAGTCAAAACGAACAGATTTGTTCATGTATTGGGCACTGGGAGCAAATGTTGGTGTAATTTCTGAAGCTGTGTATTTATGAGTCTGATTAGCATTAACCTCAATGGATGCCGGAGTGTTAGAAGACCCATTACCATGAATAGAGCTTTTCGACAAATTTTGACTACTGTGTCCATCCATCATGCAGCTACAGAGACATAAGACAACATGAGATGTAAAATAGCTAGACAGACCTTCATTTAAAAAATAGCTAGTCCAGACATGCTAAATATGCATACATCCCAGTGAAATAGCAAGGGAACATTTAAAATGGATTGTTACCCTAAGAACATCTTTAACAAGATCAACGATAACTGTAGGGATTGACCAGCGTCTTTTTAAGGTCAAAGTTGTACCTGCTTGGTGAACGTGCCAAGGAACCATAATGTTTTTCCAGTCCATTGCTTTTACTAGGTGTAATAGGGTCCTCAGGTGGCAAATTCAGGTTGAGCTCTTGAACAGCCATATCAGAGAGCCAAGACTTGAATTTTAAAGGTTCAACATCTCCTGTTGAAGTTGATAGATCTTTGCGTTTCACCAAGCCTTTTCGAAGTTCAGCAGGAGTCTCAGGTAAGGTTCCACAAGCTTTAAGAAACTTGGCCTGCATAATAACTCACACAAATAATTTAATGCAGAAATAATCTAAAAGTAGGAGGTGGAAACCCCAAATCTAAGTTAGCCTGGACTGGATGGTTACTATCAGATGAAAGTTGCAGAAAGTTTCAGTGTCCAAAACTAAAAGGAAGGGAAGGTCTTCTGTTAATCGCAACAATTAGTAAATCAAAGAAGAACAAGAATGCTACATATTCAGGCACTAAATAATTAATCACATCATATATAATGTTGGATCTTATTTTCTGTCAGCAGAAAATTCACAAACCTTCAATGCATTTCACTAAAACTTTTATAGGAATTCGCAAAGTTGAAGTTATACAAATCCAAACAGCAAAATAAGGTGACAAACACATGCAAAGGTCATAATGATCAACAAATTTGATAGAACCATTCAAGGATTGGTAAAGATTGACAAATCATTGAAGTGTTATGACCAAATTGCACCAAAATCAATAGAAACAGCTAATAACACCATTGGCAAAGCTTAGAGCTAAGTCAAAACTCAATCAAGGATAAATAAAATTGAATTCACTTCCAGTAATTGGAGTCAGGTCAGGGGCCAGCGGGCATGCCCAAATAATAGCTAGCAGGATGATGAAATATGATGAAAAGGGAGACAAGGTAGGTGTGTCAAAACTAATGTTGCTTTCTCTATTAGCTTAATTCGACACTTGGTGGAATTAGGCCATCAACTCTCTATTGTTGTTTGATTACCTATGTCAGTTACATTAAGCTTTTTCTTCTGCACAATGAGGCAGGCGCTATCCTACAGAATTAAAAAATATCTTCTTTTTATAGACAGATCTCAGCAATCTACTGTCTTGAAATTTTGATGTGCTACTTAATGTGTGCAAATTACAACAACAATAACAAACTTGTGTGCAAATTATGTTTTAGTAAAACATATCTCCAAGAAACTACACATAACAATGACCCCGAAATCTATTCAAACTTCCTAAAAGTAGAGATGTTACTGATTTCACATTCTGACTTTTTTGCACATCCTTTTATGCAAGTTCAACAAGAGGGAAATGTCGGGTACTAAGTAAATGAAAATCTCTACTATTTGAAGAATACAAATTATAGGCGGATGAGGGAACTCTTAAGTAATTCATCTTTTGTATAGTAGGTATAACTGAAAAGGTTGACTTTGTTAGCTCCTTTCAAGTATGAAAGGACGCCTTCTTGTACTGTATAAATTTTGTACATTTCAGCACTTAGTGCTTTATAAATGAATAAATATTCCTTAATTTTCTCAAAGAAAAACAGAACATCTAAGGTCACTAACATGGAAATTAAGATACTATATGAAATAGTGAAATTAGAGGGAATATATATATATGTGTGTGCAGCTTACCTATGTTTTCTTTTAATTGATTTTAAGTACCTCTCCTCTTCATGTAAAAGGCGAACAGAAAGGGAAACTTTCTCCTTCAAAGTTTCATTTATTCCAGTGTTTTTATCAATTACCCCATACATATGCAATTGTTGCAACATAAATTTAATAACTCACAAAGTCATATTTAATATTTTAACCATGGAACTTCAGGAAAATGAACCTGATCCCTGAGCTCTTTCGCATCCAACTCAGACTTAGGTGTTCCTGTTTCTTGCTTATCCATTTCTGTTTGGTGCAAATCATTATCCTCGCCTTTTTCTGATATCATCAGTGCAAAAATTCATGAGCTCAAAAATATTACTAGTAACAACTTTAATGAATTGACTGAAGCAAAGAAAAATCATTTCTACAACATAAAAATTAAAGATAAACAATAAACTACCTTCAGAAATAAATAGTGAAGATAATGGACTCCTGTTGCGAGACACGACAGGTTCCTGGTCAAGTAACAAAAATCAAATAAACAAAAATTATCAGCAATTTTGAATTTCTTCTATATTTAGCAAACCAACAAAAATACAGTAGCTATAGAAAGTATCGTCAGAAATATATCATTATGTAAAGTAACTCTAGACCGCAAATTTCATCCTTATAGCTACTCAGTAATCAAACGTCAGAGAGAGAGACACAAAATGTGACAGTAAATAGCTTATTAATTCTCTTTTTTTTCCCCTATAATCTCATTAGGAATCAGCTGAATTTACCAGTTCTCAAGTAAATCGAAAGTTTACTACTATAATTTATGGTTAGCTTATTTGGTCATTTGTTCGTCTTTTTCATAAAAAATTCACCAGAAACTAAACACAAAAAATACATTAACAAATAAATTAAATAAATAAGAAGTTCAAGACGACCTTAGTAGATGTAGACTGGGAGACGAGGTGAGATTTAGGATCGGAGCAAGGAGCAGGAGAAAGAGAACCATCCTTGATACGAAAACAACCGAATAAACATCCCATGGCGGCGACAACCAGTGCCCTAAACACTCCAACGATATCGCGATTTTTCGGATAATTAAGTTCTTCTTCGGAAGGTAACCTTGACCATAACATATTTCTCAGGCTATTTCATCCTCCGATTACCGCTCAATTGATTGATTGATCGATTGAAAATGCCATGAAAGTGAAAACCCTAGCTAAGCTTTCTATTTCAAATTGCGTGCGGTGGAATTCAGAGAGTGATGAGATTTAAAGAGAAGGCAAAATTATTATTGGTAAGGTGAGGAGTCACTGTATGTCTTGTATCGATGGCTTTTTTCGGATTTTGAATTTCGAACCGGGAGGGAAAATAAAAGGCTATACGCTTTTTATTACTATTTTTCTTCTTGTCCTTTGAATATTAACTCTCGTTTCCTCACGCGCGACTCGCGAGTATGCATTAGATGAAATTGTTAAGGGACTAATTCGATTAGGACAATCATTAATTTTTCTTTACCAATTAGGACAGTCATTAATTAGTTGGGTAAAATATGTCTGTCAGTGTGACCGTAATCCTCTCTAGTTTTTTAGTGTCCAAAACTTGCAAAAATTATGAAAAATTCGAGGAAGAAAAAGTTCATTTCAGTTACACCCTCGGCCTAATGTCTAACTCAATTTAATTTACTAGACTTTATTTGTTTTACCCTCGTAGTTTAGTACTTTCTATTCACTTTTACTCGCCTATTTTAAAAAATGAAGAAGAAGATAACTTTTTTCTATTTTACCCTTATAATTTTTTTTCTATTTTACCCTTATCATTAACTATTTATTCCCTAAATCATTTTTCATGATTTTTTGAAATGTTATCGTTATTATGGGTATAATAATAATTATATACTTTATTTATTATTTCTAGGGCGGTGAAAAGTCCATTATAAACAAATAAAAATGATCCGAGGCACTAATTGTATGATAAAAAGGGATATGATTAACTTTTACCTAAAGTGCAGTTTTGTCATAATTAATGTATGATGATTTATGAGGCTCAAAAAGGGAAGTTTTTTCTTCCTATTTCTTTCCTGCTATTACTATAGGCGAAAACTTCATATTGAAGAAACTCCACATTACTGTATGGGTTAAAATCCGCCTTTAAGATATTCAGGCCGAGATAACACCGCGAGAGGGATCTTAGTTCGTCATTTAAGATGGACAGAGAAACCGTGTAATTTGGTGGTCGAGGAGTCGAGAAAAGGCACAGTCAACCAATGGAGATCAAGGTCGAGGTCGAGTATTGGTAATGGAGCTGCAACAACTAGTTTACAAGATAAGATCTGAAAGAAAATATTCTAAAGGATATTCTAGAAAATATTCCTTATATTTGTACTATTAGGGTTTCTTGGGTATAGATCCCACATAAAGGGAAAAGGGGACAGAATAGAGACACGTGAGATTCAATTGTAAGAACAACACTTTGAAAAAGATTCAGTTTTCACTCGATACAAGATTTCACTTTTCACTAAGATTCTCATCTCTCTTTTACCATCAAATCCAAGATATCCTCGATTATACGAGGATTCGTTGTTCAATCATTGTTAGGTAGAATGTTCATTTATTCTACCCTTTATTGATTGAATTATTTCTCTTTTTACTTAAATGTCGTCTACCGTCATTTATTGAATATCATACACTCTGTCACTATTCTTGATTATTTAAAGACATTTATCACATAGTATTATATTTGTTCTCATAAACGTATATCATTTATTTTTTCTGACATTAAGATTTGAGGAAATTATTCTTAACTAAGATTAAACTTTGTTTAACTGAAATTAATTATTTGAACCAAGATTTATATTTTTGGGTCAAATAATTTGGTACCATTTGTGGGATTTCTTAGCTAAATTTTTAGTTTCCTCTAGATCTACAACTAACGTCGGTCACTGACGTCACAAAACCCAAGCTATCTTTTCTTCCCGTGTGCAAAATCTAACATGTCACTACATTGGGCCTTTACACCCTTGCTGACCTCAAGCTACTCTTCTTTACTTCTCAACGTCCCTTCAAGGACGCTGCATTTCTCAATAGACTTCACCAGCTTATCGTCTTTCTCCCTCAACTCGTTTCAAAGGCCTGCATGTTGCCACCCTCCTTGAGTCGCGGTGAAACTCACGGTACTTGCGTCGGCACTCAAAGTACTTGTTTTTCAATCTTACAAAAATCTCACTACACCTCTTCTCCCTTTGGGCGCTCTCGATCTTCAAAATCACAGTGTACGACCAGAAAAAAGAAAATAACTGAGTCAGAAACAAAAACAAAGACAAAAAGAAGAAAAGAACATGACACTGAAAACTCACTCTAAGGGCAAGGCCAGCAATACTCCTCGACAGAGTAGCATCACTCAACTCCTTAAGGGTCTTACCCTCTATCTCAGAGCTGAGGAGACCGAGGGCGGGGACCACGTTCTCCGTATTCTTTAACAAATCGCGATCAATAGGGATCGGAATGGTCCTCGTAGACCCCTCTAACCTCACCTCGAGTTGGGTAAATCCCTCATCCACCATCTTCAGGTCTCCCCCATCGACGTCTAAACCCCTCTCATAGCCTTCCTCAGCAACACCTTTGCCTCTCTCATCAGCCGGCAAATAAGTATCATCAGTCGACCGAGAAGTTAAGGATCCCTCTTGTCCCGAAGTATTAAGGACTCTAATGACTAACCATTTTGCCTCCATCATCGCAGAAGTAAGAGACATACCCACGTCGGCCTCCGTCGACCTCGGAATATCTGATACAGGCTCAACGTCATCTCTGATGAAAATGGTCGTCGTCTCACGGAGCAAAAAGTCACCCCCATTAAATCAACAGCCCGCGCAACCCCTTCACCAACATCTACGAACCTCCTTCTGTAAGGCATCAAGTCTTCCTCACTAGGTGTAAACTCATCGTCTTCATCTATAAGACAATATAATAGGGGTGGGAATCAGTCGGTTTAGTTTGGTTATGAATATTATCGGTTTAGCATATCGGTTATCGGTTTACAAATATATGATAAATTGATAATCGAACCGATAAGATATCTATTATCGGTTAATCGGTTATTGACCATTATAGGTTTGGTTATCGATTTATCCGATAAGATAACTCAGTTTAGAGTTAAGCAAAAAAAAAATTCACTAGAGTTAAGCACAAAGAAGAAGAATTCACATATAGTATACTACTCATTTCTGCATTCTGGCCACAATTATTATTTGAAACATGCTTTATTTTGACAAATTCAAGACCGGTGCAATCTCAAAAATTGATACTACAACTCCACAAACATTCCATCTCCAATTCGTTGGAAATAGAAGTTAACAAGAACATAAATAACAATTTTTTGGTTTCCTGCCAAACCATAATCAAGAGATCAGTGTCTTTTTCCAGAGTCTTATTATAGCAAGAGCAACAAGAGTACTAGTAATTCAACAGTTGTCTAAACACAATTGAAATAGTACTAATTCTTATTGGGTTATCGGTTAACCCGTTAAGAAATTGGGCAAACCGAGGCCCAAACCGATAACCCAATAGTGAAAAATATTAAACTATTACCGAACTGTTAATCCAATAACCCGATATCAATACCGCAATAAGCTTTTTTCAATTCGGACAATCGATTATACTCGATGTATGCCCAACCCTAAGGTATAAGGAGGGGGCGAAGTTCCCATGGTTGAGAAATGAACAGGACTAGATGCGGCAGTAGGAAGAATGAGGGCATGAGTAGAGGCAGTTGAGGGAGAGCAAGGGCTCAGGTCACGAACAGAGGTGGCCGTAGTCAAAGTAGGGCGGAAGCTGAAGGCTTAGTGTTTATCCTCTTTCAAAACGCGGTCGTAGGGGCATTTAATTTCCTCGAAGCTAAAGGTGGACCAAAGATGAAGGGAGAATCAACAAGGATAACCAAAAGATGAAAATAACTAAGACATCGGTAAGACAGATGACTCACCAACCGAAGGGGGATAAGTCCCAAAGTTCTTCAAAAAGCCGGACCATTCACGGATCTCGGCGATATGAGGCAGGAGTCGATCGACCCAGCCTAATATGTCCTTGATAGAAGGAGAAGGCAAGGTTTTAGCTACATAAGAAAAAACGAGAAGTCAAACCCCATGACCAAGCAAACATAAGTTATATACATGCATACAAAAGACGTAGGTACTCACGATTGTAGTTCCAGGCCTCGGGAAAGCCGTCAACATTGGATACCACGTCCTCAGTTCTGATGAAGAAAAAAATGAAACAAAATCAATGGCTAGATTTTTCATCCGTCTTCACCACTAAGAATTTACCTCCTCAATGGCGAAGGTTCAATATCGTCCCCTAATAAAAGCTAAGGGCAAAAGGTGGATCGGATGTCGAAGTGAGAGTTCGTTCCCTGCCAACTCCCCAAATTTATTGAGCATCCTTATGAGCTTGTCAACGTACGATGCGAGCTGAGACGGACAAATACCGTAATAGCGACAGAATTCCTCTACTAGCGGAAGGAGAGGAAGGGTGTCGCCGACTTGAAAAGGGTAGGCGTAAAAGGCACAGTACCCAGGGCAGTGAACCCACATTGTATCCCCTTCGACAGGGACCAACTCGACATGGTTGGCAAGGCCGAATTTAGCTCTAATCTCTAACAAACCAACTTCTATCATCTCAGATTTGAAGTTTCCAAGGTCGGCATTAGGCGACTTGAAGAAATCATATCTTATATTAGGGTTGCGAGGAATTATCTCCTCCACCGTTGGGAAATTCTCATCCTCAAATACGGAAAGAACGCTCCAAACATGAGGAGGGAACCCCATCGATAGAGGGACCACTTCGCTTCCCTCGCTAGATTCAGAAGGTAAGTTAAACCCATTTTTATAAAAGAGAATAACGAACAAGGAAGGATTGAAAACAACGGGAATCGCTGGAACAAAGGGGAGAAATACACAACAATGAGAGAGAAAGGGGAAGATATAGGGTTTCGATATGAGATTTCTGAAAACTTTCAAGTTATACACTATTATCCATACTTAAAAAGATTTAGGCACAAAAATCGAAAGTCAACTCATTATTATCTAGCACTGTCACACCTCCTTTTTTCCGCACCCGGGGGCGCAGGGGGAGTTTTTTCCAATTAAAGGACA